GGGTTCATAGTTTCATAGTTGTCGATTTTCGAAAGAAATCAGTACATGTATATTATTTCGTATATTTTTCATTTTATTCACTTTATGGAAAGCACTGTTCGTTAAAATGTTGTGTCCTATGTTATAGAGCTTGTTTCTGTCTACAATTTCCTGCCTCATAATGTACCGTTTGTGCCAGGGAAGGGATCATAGTTTCATAGTTGTCGATTTTCGAGAGAAATGTAGTACGTGTCATTTGCTTTTTCATCAGCTGAGCTGATGGTTAAATTTAAAATATTAGGCAATTTTACTAAAAATGTCACTTCGATTTCCAAATCCTTCACCAATAATTAATATATAATATCTTTTGTAAGAGTATTGATGATTTTTATTATATGTTTTTTTTGTTAAAGCTATCCACTATAAGGGGTGATGCATCGTCGTTGGAAACATAGAAAATTCCATGCAAATTTTGAACTGCCCAAATATTGGCTCCCTTGTTAATTTTACAGCTAAGCCGTACATTAGGTTTTTTTAAAGATCTGCGCATGCTGAATACATGTGCCAAATTTGCATAATTTGGGGCAAGCCGATTTTAACTAATTTAAGAAAAACTGCATCTATTTTTAAATTAAAACTTAACAGGTAACAATGCAAAACCAGGCAAATGCCAATGTACCTTAAGTTGTTATCTTATAATTTTGTCAATGTCAAATTTGTTTGAAATTACAAAAATGTATTTCGAGGATTATAACGTATATAGTCTAAGAGCTAGCAACGTTTTCGAAAAAGTATTTTAAGACGTTAAGACTCTTTGATATATCTTTTACTATGCTCTCTCGAACAGCATGCGGCCCGTCTGGCTGCCGATACCCGTTGCGTTCACTACTGCGCATCGGAAGAAGATCCTATATTTTTTATTAATTTAGTCCTATTAATTCTAGTATTGAATATAAATCGAACATGTCTCCGTAGCGCAGTGTGTAGAGTTTCCGACCACGAACCGATGATTCAGAGTTCGAATCCGGATCAGGTCAAAGACTTTTTTATTTTATTTTCGTTTATATTCTGATAGTAAAGTATTAAATAATTCCGGTAATTAAAAAAAAATAAATATTTAATACTTTACTATCACAATATAAACGGAAATAAAATAAAAAAGTCTTTGCCCTGACCCGGATTCGAACTCTGAATCATCGGTTCGTGGTCGGAAATTCTACGCACTGCGCTATGGAGACATGTTCGATTTATATTCAATACTGGTATTTAAAGGACTAATAAAAATATAGGATCTTCTTTCAATGCGCAGTAGGGAACGCAACGTTTACCGGCAGCCAGACGGGCCGCATGCTGCTCTAGAGAGCATAATAAATGATATATCAAAGAGCCAGACGTCTTAAATTACTTGTTTTTCCGACGTTACTAGCTCTCGTACTAGTAGTAGTTAGATAGAACAACAATAATTTGTCAATGATAAAATCTTTGGATAAAATCATAGGTTGACAAATTAAGGTATGTTGACATTTGAATGATTTTGCATTTATTACCTGTCCAGTTATAATTTAAAAATAAATGCAGTTATTCTTAAATTATCTAAAATCGGCTTGTCGAAAATTGTTCCAATTTGGCTATTTACGAATTAGCTGTAACTTGAACAGCGCAGTTCAAACCATGAGGAAAATCTGAATGTGCGCTGTTTTTATTCTTATATTACATACGGTATTAAAAATTTTGTAATAGAGTCAGACATCATCATCATCATCATTTTCAGCTTATTCAACCATTTCCAATTATGGTTCCAATTATGTTCTTTGTAGTTGGGCTGATTGTTGTCTATTGGCTACGCTAGCCTAAGTTATCCCTGACAATTTCTTAGTATCATGGTCCCATTTCAGGTTTGGTCTTCTTCTAAGTCTCTTAATTCCTCGTAGGTCCATCTGGTGTCCGTCCTTCTTGTCGTTTGTGGAAGACATCTATTACCTGGGTATTTTATCGTATCCACTCTATGCTTTTACTGTGTCTCTTAGTTATTCGCAGCATATTTCATTCCATTGAGCGTTGTACGACCTGCAGTTTTCTTATGATGTCCGTTTTAAGTATTCAAGTTTCGCATGCATAGGTCATGACTGGTAGTACACATTGGTCTAATGTTTTCTTCTTTAGATAAAGTGGCATTCTAGATTTGAATATGATTGAGTTTCTTCCATAAGTACTCCATGCTAACTCAATTGTTCTGTTGATTTCTGGTAGTAGAGATCCCAAGCTGGGTATTAGTTTCCAAAATACATATATACAGGGTGTTTTAAAACAAATGCGAAAAACTTTAGGGGGTGATTCCTTGTTCAAAATAAAGGGTAGTTTGCTTTATAAACGTTGTGTCAAAAGTCAACCATTAGGGAGATATCGCGGTACAAAGATGGCGGAAAAATAATGTTTTTATTTTTTATCTTGAAAACGAAAAGAGATAGACTAATGAAATTTTATGGAAACATTACTGTTATGAAAACACACTTTCAGGTAATTTTTTACTTTTTAAAATGAGTGGAAGGGTTGAAAAAACTACCCCTATCATTCTTGTTAACGAAATTTAAAGAAAAATCTTATCAAACACATGCAAATGGATAGTTTAGTTTGTTTAGAAACTTTTTACCTCTTGTGTTTTTTGATAAAACTCACCGATTGGAAATTAAAAAATAAAATGTAAAGCATTACATGTCAGGACAAAAAACATTTTTAGATTAAGAATCTAGTGATAATAACGATAATAATAATCATCTAGATAATAACGTTTGCATTTTATTTTTGTAATTTCAAATAATATGAGTTTTATCAAAAAAAATAACAGCGGCCGACTAGATTTTTTCTAAACAAAGTACAGCAGCCTACTAGATTCTTTATCAGAAAATGTTTTTTGTCCTGACATGTAATGCTTTACATTTTATTTTTTAATTTCAAATCGGTGAGTTTTATCAAAAAAATTCAAGAGATAAAAAAGTTTCTAAACAAACTAAACTATCCAAATTAATTTTTTTGCATGTGTTTGATAAGATTTTTTTTAAATTTCGTTAACACGAATGATAGGGGTAGTTTATTTCAACCCCTTCCACTCATTTTAAAAAAGTGAAAAAATTACCAGAAAGTGTGTTTTCATAACAGTAATGCTTCCATAAAATTTTATTAGTCTATTTCTTTTCGTTTTCAAGATAAAAAATAAAAACATTATTTTTCCGCCATCTTTGTACCGCAATATCTCCCTAATGGTTGACTTTTGACCCAACGTTTATGAAGCAAACTACCTTTTATTTTGAACAAGGAATCCACCCCCTAAAGTTTTTCGTATTTGTTTTGAAACACCCTGTATATTCTTCTACTATTTCCATCAGTCTTGTGCTATGTCTTTTCTTTCCACTAGTTATTTATATATTACTTTAGTTTTTGCTAAATTCAGTCATTAGCGAATCTTAGATGGTTAGGATATTCTCCATCTATTTTTAATCCTTTGTTGGTCCAGTCCAGTTGGTCCTTCACGACTACTGGCAATTAGGATGTGCTGAAGCCACATCTAAAGCCTGCTTGTTCCCATGGTTGTGCAGCGTCTAGAGTGTTTAGTATTCCGTTGTTTATTATTTTTGTAAATATCTTGTCAGACATATTAGAGTTGTGTATTCTCTAAGGAATAATTTGTTTATAAATATTATTTGTGGATAATAATTGTTTTTTTTTAATAGCAACTGTTAAAATTGTTGCCTTATATCTATCAAAAATAGTATAGATAAAATAATACGTTAACCGCAAGGGTATATTTAATGATACTTTAACAGCGATGATAGGTTAAAAACTTTATTTCTTCTCGCACGTTTTTTAATTGCTTCCATTATTGAAAATTTTTGTATTCCTTTTCATAAGTTATTCGGGATTTAAACGGAAGTAGTGTGGATATGGCGTTTGTCGCCTCAGCCTGAATATCTGTTGATAATTTACTTATTTCGTTTTGAGCCATTTCTGGCTCCAATTCAATCAGCAATCGACACGAAAGAGGATTAAAAAATATTGACTCAAAACTGAAAACTAAAGAGACAGCTTTATTTATTTGTCAAATTACATAAAAACCAACCCAGGAAAAAAACCACCAAATTGCATTATCGTCTTCCGAAATTGTAATCTTTTCGGTCGACGATAAAATACCATTTTATCGTCTTGTATAAACAAATAACTATTATTGGATAGGGTCATATGATCTCATATTTGTATGCAAACTAATTTGAAGCAATCATTTATTTAAGAATATTTGGGAGATATAAAAGTAGAATGAAAAAAATGAATTATAAAAAATAGAATATACAAAATTAGTTACAAATATGAGCACAAATGTTGCTCGTATATTCCTTTATGTGTATTTGATCTTTTGATGTATTTAATGTACTATGATTTCTCTTAGAAAGACATAAATATTTCATATATTTTAGTAGCTTTTAGAATAAGCAATGTGGGCAGCTTTGCGTACCTACTTATTTTGTTTTCTGACACATTAGAGTCATAGATCTAGAAGTAATTTAGTTTTCAAAAATACGTACAATAAGTAGTGAAAGATATAATATATACAACAGGAAGACAATAAATAAGTACATTTTAAAGCGTTATCATTTCCTGTAAAAGCCAACATTCTATTATCAGTCACGATGCTTTTAAAAGGGTCTATAAAATAATAACAATATCTATTGTTGCAAGGAGTGATGATATAATATTAATGCTACATGAAAGAATATGTCAATTAAAAAGGCAAATACTTTCTAATGTATTGTATTGTTCATAAATAGTAATTCGTTGAATTACTTATTATTACTCTAGTACTTAATGTTTCAATTACTTTCATTAGTTTCATTGATCGAGATAATTTTTTAAGAGGAAAAACGTTTTTTATTGCTTTTTCTATTTCTTATTTGTTGTTCGAATATAATTATGAAAATAAATAAAATAGTTCTATTTTTATTTAGTTGTTTAATAACCTTTTAATTTTTTAGCAAAGATCAATGGATTGCTTTCGAAGATACAAAATCAATTGATATCAAAGCGAAATATTCTAGAATTCGAGGATTAGCGGGTATAGCACTGAAAGATTTAGGCCAAGACGGAGGTTCAAAATGCGGTACAACTATACTAGAGGACGCATATAATGGTAAGAATAATGTTACGTTTTTCGTCGGTTCCGTGTGGATAGAAAGTCACAATTTATTTAAACACTAATTAACAAAAACAATAACGATAAAAGACTTATAGAACTATTTACAAACGATTTATAACTAAGAATTTATTTTTAATTTTCGCGCGTCAACTGCACTGGTATATTTATAACTGCCCCCTGTAGGCCGCGGCCGCCGGCTTTTATACCGGCAGGTAAAGAACTCTAGAATTGTCCATAGATCGTTAGGTGCGTAGAGAAGGTTTTCGAATGTTCTCGTATGTACTCGTCCATTCCAGTGGGACTCGATTCTACTCGAACGAATGAATCATTGCGGTGTCTATGCGATGTTAAGGTCATCCGAGGGCGGGCCATATTGTGAGGTTAGGTCGAGTCCACACCGGCCCGCAACAATAATAACGCAAGTGGTTGAAAAGCCATTAAGCCACAGTCTATTCAGTAACAAGTCAAGTTATACATACAGACATTTGTTTATTTTATGCAACAATGAGTATTAGGTATAATGATATAATATGGATTTTCAGCTTCAAAAATTCGTTTTGGCTTTTTGCACAATAAAGCGTTGTTTGTTGTTGTTGTCCACGGTATATTGGGACACCCTGTATGTCGGGGAATAAACACAGTAGGTGATATCAGAACGGCTCCAAAACACGAGAAGTTGGCTAGCTGTTTACTGAATAAGCTGTGTCTCAAAACCTAAAATTATTGGATAATTAAAATTTTCAACATTAGTTAAAATGACAAGATAAAGAGGCAGCAAACTAAGATATTATTTTAACGAAAGGAAGATTGAGTAATAATGACTGGTTACTGAAATAGTTAAAAGATTTTTTCATAAACAGTATTCAATATGATAGTTTACCTCAAATAATACAATAACATGATCCATCTTACGTTTAATAGACAACGAGGAAAATGAGAATAATAGTATCTAGTTAATTTTATTTGAAAAAGTATAATACTACTATGAAGAGGAAACTATAAGATTAATGTTGTTTTAATAATTTTTAAGGTTTATCTAGACAAGCAAGGGCACCAAGAGGAGCGGTACTACATTCGCTGGAACGTGAATATTTGGAAAGTCCATCGAGACCTTTAGATTCTGTGCAATTGTCACCTTTTAGTATATCTAGAGTTATTGACACTGAAGGCAAAATCCACGTTGTTAGACAGGTAAAGATTAATTATAAATACCTAAAAAATAACCTTATTAAATTTAATTGTTAGTAAAAGTTTTTAAATATTTTTATAGAGGGTGTTTCAAAAAACATATGCCATTTCTTGTGGAGAGTTTTCTCAAGTAAAAGTAAGATTAATTTCTCATTTTCTGCTTTATTTCGTAGCTAGAGGGGGTTAAAGTCTTAATTTTTATATATATTAAGACTAAAATTTATAATTTAATTATCTACCTTTTCAAAAGTTTTTAATTATGCAGATAAATAAAAATATAAAATATTAAATTGTGATAAAAAATAATTAGGCAACTAGGTCAACACAAAATCAAGGCCCGCTTCGATACAAAGATAAAAAACCTAATATTTCCCTCATTTTTAGAAATAAATACACGACTTTATATCGTTGGATAGGGTTAAACGCCAGCATTTTTTAAGGTCATAGCCAAATATGATTTCCATTTTAAAAAAATTATATTTTTTATTATTTCTGACAAAAAGAGGCATGGTTAGAGAAAAACTGACTACGCCACTGGATTGTGCTTAAAAAAGTGCCCCAAGAACGTTTTTACAGAATTTTATTATTCCGCGAAATACAAAAGTTATCGGCAATTTTCTAAATGGTAAAAAAATCAAAAAGACACCGTCAGTGGCGGATACGGCCGCCCCCTAAAATCTGTGAATTGTGTAAAATATTAGGCGTTTGGGTTAAAAATGGCGCCCTAAAAAGCATATTCTACATTGCTTTTCATTTTGGGCCCCCCTAAAATAAATTCCTGTATCCGTCCCTGGACACCGTATCTCAGTTGGCAGTGAAAATATCAACAGGCGGTTTACGCCATTAAACCGTGTCTCAGAAATCGAGCCTACATCTATGCCGGTTTTGCTCTATCTAGTCAGGAAATAGGTTTTCTCTGTTAAAACAGACCAATTTCGACCACCCTGTACATTTTTTAAAAAAGGCTATGAAAATAGGAGAATTAATCACAAAGATTCAACAATAATAACACGATGTTATACAAAAGACTGACATTATGATAATAATTGTTGTAAAATAATAAAAGACAACGTTGCTGAACACGGCGGAATGGGATCGACATAGCGATAATAAAATTCGGTTTAAACATGGCTTAAAAAATTTTGCAGCTTTAATCTAAATAAAATATCTGCTATAATACTATAATACTATACTCTATAAAGTAAAATGAAAAGCTGCTCGGTATTTTAAATTATAGGCCGTACAACAAATTTCAACATTTTTGCCAAATTTTCATTCAGTTAGGTTTATAGCCTTTAGTGTCAATTTCCATATGATTGATGACGTGCATCATAAAATGTTTTGCGATTACCGTAGATGTCATAACGCAAAAACAATTTTTATTTCTTATCATTAGGTAGGTATTATATTTATCTCGCACTTGTAACAAGTTCAAAATTATTATCACATTTGTATTTTTCACTACAATAAAAATACATATCAACTAATTATACATTTTCAAAATTTAAATTATCTTCGTATATAGATTAAAAAATAATTTTGAGAAATTTAATAAAAAATTATTGCGATGGCCGGGAATCGAACCCGGATCAACTGCTTGGAAGGCAACTATGCTAACCATTACACCACCATCGCAACTTGCTTTCAAACTTTAATTTAGTGTTCAGATTGGCTTTAATGGTCTATTTCTCTTAATACGTCTGGTCAAGAGAAAGGAATTCGTGCAAAATTCCAGCTGATAAAATAATTAGTACTTTTACTTTATTCCTTTATTAAGTGTCGAAGGAGGAAGTCAATATGTTTTATGAAATATCTCTCAAGTTGCGATGGTGGTGTAATGGTCAGCATAGTTGCCTTCCAAGCAGTTGATCCGGGTTCGATTCCCGGCCATCGCAATAACTTTTTTATTTTTTTAAATCCTCGATTTTTGCGAATTAGTGAAAATTACCATATGAACTCATATTTGTAAATCTTATTTTTCTTTTAAATTTCATATATTTGTGTACAAGGTGAGTCAACGATAAAGTTCTGTATCTCATTTGTTTATATAGAGAGTTATATAGAAAGTTTTAGAGAATGTTTTGACAAAATTTAATATTAATTGTGTGGCAGAGTGTGGCATCAGAATGAAATATAACATGTTTTTTAACAATATAATACCGTTGATTGAAAGAATTGGGAACGATAATACCTTATTTTTATTTGTATTATCTATTTGTATTTTTGTTTGTTTATTATATTATTGATAACTTTTAAATGGCCTACACAATTTTGATATCAAAAAGAAAAAAGTCAGTGGCGCACATGTTATTTTTTTTGAAAAATATTCCAGTGATATGCACGTCCCTGATGAATTTATCGACACTTTTTTTGTATTAAAATATGTAGCACTTATAGTAACTTTTAACCTCAAAATTTCATTCAATCACTAAAAGTACTTGGAAGAAAATTATAATAAATCAAAAAAATATTAAGACTTTAACACCCTGTATCTACGAAACAAAGCAGAATCAGACCTATGTTGATATGAAAAATAAATCTTATTTTTACGTGAGGAATCTCCCCACAAGAATGGTACATTTTGTTAAACACCCTGTATATTTTTGAGAAGCTTATGACAAGCCAGATCATATAATTTATGAATATACAGCGTGTTTTATTTAAGAAAACATAACTATAGTTCATATCTTTAAAAATATTATTTTCGTAGAATAACAGACTACGCCACTGTATTCACCGTAAAAAGTTCTACATAAACAGATTTTACCTTCTCGAAGCCTTTAACAATAACAGAGGTACAGGGGGTATCACAAATTTTAAAAAAATACCCTGTAGCTCAGAAACGAAAAGGGCTATGAAAATTTTGATTGCGGCATCTTCCGTAAAAAGTGGGACAAGTTTGTGCAAACCGCACCCTTCTATCTTCACTATTAACGGAGATACCGTATGATTTCAACAATTTACAAAATGGAACACCCTGTACATTTTAGCCAAAAAGTAAAATAATTAGTAATCCACATTTTCTTTTTATATTTTTTAAAGGACAGCCGAACCGAATTCAAGTGTTCAAGACAAGGATATTTCGTGCATCCTCGATCTTGTAACCGATTTTATAGATGTGTCAAATTTAATCAGCAAACAGAGGACTACAACGTGTTTGAGTTTGACTGTCCAGCAGGTAAATACATTCTTATTACAACTCAGATTGAATCCTAAAAGATTTGTCTCCGGATTAGAGAAAATATAATTTTTTCTGCATAATATCATTGATACGTAATAAGAGTATAACACTTTAAGCATTTAAATTGAAATACTGGCAATCTAAATATACATATTTGCAGTGCCAATAAAATTATACAGGGTGAGTCTTTAATAAGTGCAAACATTTTCGGGGCGGTTAAATCTCGATAAAACAAACATAATATTTTCTCTTTACCGGTTTTCAAATAATTACAAAGTCCAAAATAACCGAGTTACCTATTTTACTTTGAAAATTTCCAAAAAAGAAGTTTTTTGCTTAAATTTTGAACCATTGATCTTTTCTGGGTTCTCTTTCTTGTAAATGTAATCTATAGTCTGTCCAACGAGAAGATCCTTGACAGTGATAGATGTGTCTGTCATTTTAATTTCAAAGTAGTTTATTTTATTTTACAAAGAAATAAGTTGGTACAATTAGAACGCATAGCAGGAAATTAATATATGTATTTAAAATTTGACTGACAAGTAACTTCAAAATATTGTGAAAAAAACTGTATAAAACTGAAAAAATCGAGGGGTGTCTCACTTGGGTAAAAAATGTACACGTACTGCCAAAATATCATCTTACTACCAAGCGACTGCCGATGACTGCGAAGAAGACTGCCTATGACTGCCATGTAATTATTTCAGGCGACTGCGGTAAGACTGCCAATGACTGCCAACGACTGCCAAGAAAATGTACATGTAATTCCACTAGTGAGACACCCCTCGGAAAAAATGTAATCGAGTTATTTTATTTCATAAAAAAAGGTATGTGTTAATACAAAACAAACAAAAACAAGACACCACATACCAAAAAATATAAAAAAGAACTAGTTCTTACTTTCAAGCTTTATGAAACTTCCCGCATCTATGATTATATTTATCAATATAACTTATGTACAAATACAAATTTGTAATATTCGGCAGGAATAAATAAAACAACATAAATAAAACAAACTATTTTATTAATAATAACACTTACCAAATTTTATACCTCACAGGTTGATTAATTAACATTAATCTTAACCAGTACCTTTTGACATTATTTTTCTGCAGTACTAAAATCCATTATTTACCTATCGTGTGATGTCGATATTTTACAGCTACTCCAGTTTTTAGTATGTGTTTAGTATGGCCCTTCTACCATATTAGAGATGCACTTATCTACGACGAGATGGTATACGAACTTTATTGATAGTAACTTTATTGGTGTATCTGTATAAGACTTTCTGCCTGGGCAGCGAGTATTAACCATAAACTGTGCTCTGGGTTCTACAGTTAATTTTCACTCGATTTTTCCTCCACTTGACTTCAAAAGACACAAAACACACGTAATAACACGAATCAAAATGCATCATCTTCCAAAACGCAGGGTATTTGACAAAAGTTGTCACAAAATTATAACCTATAATTTGGCAAGACTTTGACAAACGTCAAAAATCTAAAGGCGAGTTCATACGCATCGGCGTCCGTTTGTCGTTCATCGTTCCGTCAAACCAATAAAATTGAAAGACTATCTGTCATTTTTGAAATAAACCAATAAAACTGGTTAAAAATAACAAGTGACGACGCATGACGAATTTATATTTAAACCCATCCATCGTTAACTTAAAAATTATTAGGAACATTTTTTCGTAAAATAAATAGATTGGTATGGGACGTCATCTGCTTTTCTTCTGTCATCGTCTGTCGAAATATTACCTGAGATTATACTACCTATGTTGCCATGTTATCAAGAAATTATTTTTTAACTAAAAACTAAAAAATCAAAATTTTCATTTTTTTGCTAAAAAACCTCACAATCGTGTTTCTGGGGTCGAAATGTGATACCCTTTAAAATATTTGGACTTATTAATTTAAGACTCACCCTGGTTATCTTTGTGTTGTGTTTCAAATTCAGATATAAAAACATGGAAATAATGAAAAAATTAAAACATTTTTATTATTTAAAAATTCTTTGTTCAGATGTTAAATTTGTAATTATTTAATCATTTATAGAACCAATAGCATTGTTATACATCTATATGTTAGTTTAAATGGCTAACCAAATGGTAAAAGAAAATACAGTTACCTTTTGTTCAATTCTACATAAAAATCCTTTTATAAGCCAAATGAGACTTTCAGGCTCTATTTCTTTAACAACTATAGCAACCTAACCAACACGATTTCTTGCCTGTACCTCTTATCTGCAAGTATATTTCAGAAGTCAGAAGTGAGCCATAAATATAATACACTAATAATATACCTACACATATCTTCTTACTGTATTTACTACTTTTAAAACAAGTAACAAGTTAATATCATGAGGAAATACTCTCCACTACGATAGCTTGAAAACTATTGTCTGAAACTACTTACTTCTATTTTATACAGGTTTAGCTTTTGATGAGCGTGTTGAAGTTTGCGTATGGCCTGGTAGCTTACCACATGGCACACCTTGTTCAGGAAGTAGTGAAATTGCACCAGTGCCTAGAGAAAGATTTGTATGTCCGACAGAACCAGGTAAATAACAAATAAATAATATAACTCCCGAAAATAAGCCAAAAAAATACTGATAAATTTTTAGGATACTATCCTGATCCAGAAAACTGTCGATGGTTCTTTGCCTGTCTGGATCATGGAAAATCTCCATTATCTGCTTACGAATTTAGATGTCCCTTTGGTCTGGTATTCGATGGCGACCGTCTGGTTTGCGAATGGCCATGGCTTGTTCCTAGGTGTGCTCAAGGACTTGGTGTTGCTCTAGACACAGCATATCAATATGGATCTCCAGGATACTCAGGATATTCTCGCAAAGGTAGTAATAAAGAACATTTTAAGCAGGTCTTATAAATGCGGTTTTAGGAGGAATACCTGCAAGCGTTGTTCTTCAGAATTACAATGGTCTAGGATCACTTGGCACTGTTAAATTGGGTGGTTTGTCAGGAACTATTGAAAGACCTATTTCTACCGTGTACAGTAATGCAGACGGTGCAGTTTTTGGTTCAGGCTATAAAAACGATGGAGGCTATATTACTGGAGGAGGCCTCAATTTCAAGGCTTTCCAGTCACTACAAAATGCCGGTCTTTTGAAATTGAACAACGGAGCGGAGTATGGATTTAAAGGACAAGTGAGTTACACCTTATTTTTCTTTTTAATCAATATTTATTACAAAAAAACAATATCAGTCCGCAGGCTTTGGTAACGCTTACTCTGCTGGCGTATCTGGTAGTCAAGATTCAGCTAATGCGAATCAACAAGGGGGAGGTGTTTATTATATTGGAGCCAATGCCAACAATCAATATCATGGCGCAGGTGCTTATGGATCAGCTTATTCTGGTGAGAATGGAGCTCAGAGTTATGCACAGTATCATGGAACTGCTGAAGGAGGACAATCCGTAGCTGGATTATACAACCAAGCTAATAGTGACTCTTCTGCCTATTACAATCAATATGGCAGTGGACAGTATTCAGGCGATTACCGTGATTCCACGTACGGAGCTGATTATTCTGGAAATGCTAATGGAAAATTGTCCCAAAATTTCAAATATCAAAATAATTATAATAACCAAGAAAATCAAGCATATTCCAGTTCTGGAACAGGCAGTCAAAGCAATGCTTACGTTGTACAAGGAAAATTAACAGGAGACTTTGGAAGTAATGCCAATCAAGGTGGATTAGTCAGTAACGGAGTAGGGATTACAAATAACGGTTATGCTTATAATTCTGAAAACCAAGGAACAGCAGGATACACAGGTGCTGGAGTTTCAGGAGCAGCTTACGCGTCGCAGGGAGTACATGCTGGGTTAGATCTTAGTAGCAATAATCAAGGATATGTTTCTGTACAACAAGGAAATGGAGGTGCTCATAGCGGAGATTACCTAATAGGAGGAACACATCACGCTAATGCAGCTGACGGAAATGGTGCAAACGGCGCAATTTCGAGTCAGAGTTTTATTCAATACCACGGTAACCAAGGAGGACAAGGAAATATTTACACTTCAGGAGGTAGCGAAGGAAATATTTACACCTCAGGAGCTGGTGAAGGGAAGATTTATACATCAGGAGCTAGTGAAGGCAAGATTTACACTTCAGGAGCCAGTGAAGGAAAGATTTACACATCAGGGGCTAGGGAGGGACAGATTTACACTTCGGGGGCTAGCGAAGGGAATATTTACAATTTAGGGGCTGGTGAGGGTAAGATTTATACATCGGGAGCTAATGAAGGCAAGATTTACACTTCAGGAGCAGGTCAGGGAAAGATTTATACTTCAGGGGCTAGTGCAGGAAATATTTATACTTCTGGGGCAAGCGAAGGAAAAATTTACACTTCAGGTGGTGGTGAGGGAAAGATTTCTACTTCAGGAGCTAGTGCTGGAAATATTTATACCTCTGGGGCTAGTGAAGGAATAATTTACACTTCAGGAGCTAGCGAAGGAAAGATTTACACTTCAGGGGCTAGTGAAGGCAAGATTTACACTTCTGGATCAAGCGATGGAAATATTTACATTTCTGATACCGGTAAAAATAGCCAATACAGCGAGAATGATGGATATAATAGTGGAATTGCTGGTAATATAAATATTGTGGGAGGTGGATACTCAGCAGTGGGTAAGTTGAAATCATTAGAATTGAAATAATTGAACTTTATATTAATTAATTGAATTTATTTTAGGAGCACACTCAGGAGTTTATGTTAGTAACAATGGTGAGTCAAATGATGTTAAAACCGTTTCATTCAGTAGCACACCAGCTCCTGTTACTGTTACTACTTTCTCGTCTACTCCTATCATCTCTTCTATTCCCACAGTCACTTCAGTTCCTGTACCTGGAATTAAAACCAATGTTGGCTTTGAAACATTTAAAGGTACTGTATAACAATAGTGTTCTGTATTGCAATAGGTTAATAATTTGTGTTTTACTAGGTGGAGTTATTGCCAATGTTCCTGAACTGCAATACAAAGTTCATTCCCAAAGCGACCTAGGGCTGTTTAATATTTCATCAGGTTTCGCTAATGTAGTCGTAACTACACCATCGGCAGTACCTACCATCCAACAATCTTATTCTAACAATGGCGGATATGTATATAATAAACCAATAAATACCTTTGAGGAAGGCCCTGTTAATACAGTCCAAATATCCACAGCAAGACCATTTGTAGCTGTTAGCACGGAAGAACCTAAAGTATATATTTCGAGTACATTTAGACCAACAGTACAGGTTCATGGTACTGAACAAAACCTAAATTACAATCAGCAGGGGGTAACTTACTCTACATATAAACCGAAACCACATATTCTGGAAACATATTCGACAGTATCCACAGTTAAACCTGCAATTCTGGTAGAACAACCCCAATATATTGTGTCTTCTACTCCGGTTGTTCCTACAGTTTCAACTTATAAATACAATGAAGAAACCAAGCAAAACAGTGGCTACGTTTATAACAAGCCCTCCATTGTGTTTGAGGAAGGTCCCAAACGTCCAGCAGTGACGTCTAAATATACTAACACGTATACCTATCAGCAGCCGACATTTGTGTCACAATACGAGTATAAGCAACCCAATATTCAACCAGCAATTTATAAACAACCAACATCTCTTTATACTTATAAAAATGTATTACAACAGGCTGCTGGCATTTCTACACAATCGCAACAAAATTATTCTTATGCAAATACTGGCGGACATAGCTACCAGTATATTAAATTTGATAACCAAAAATCTATTAAACTTCCAGAACAAGGTTATGCTTATCCTAAACCATCTATTACCTTTGAAGAACAACCACGATCAATTGGAATTACTAACTACCATTACTCTACTCCTGGTGTAGTTAGTTCTACACCTCAACCAATAGATATTGGTTATGACTATGCTAAACCAACGATTAAATTTGAAAAGGAGGAAGTGGTTTCAGTCCAACCTGCTGTAGTCAACTCCTATTATCATATCGGTACTTCAACACCAAAACAAGAATTATATATAAAACAAGAAAATAATGTTGGTTATAGTTATCCCAAGCCCACAATTAAATTTGAAGAGAACCCAGTAACTTATGTAACACAGAAGCCAATTCAGTCTGTAACTGCTAAGAGTTATTTCAACATAAAGAGCTCAACAATTCAACCAGATATATTAGTAAAAGAAGTTAGGACTGGATATAGTTATCCAAAACCATCTATTAAATTTGAAGAAACTCCTATAATTTACTCAACTCCTAAACCAGTCGTGATAGCTTCTCAACCTGCTGTTGTAACGAGTTATTATAATACTGGACCTTCGACTCCTGCTCCAGAAATATATAATAAAAATGAAAATATAGGTTATGTTTATCCAAAACCTGAAATTAAATTTGAAGAAACTCCCGTTGTCTATTCTACTCCAAAAACATTGGTTCAACCTGTTCAGCCGGCAGTTGTTAGTAGTTACTTCAATATAAAACAGTCGACTTCTGCAAATAATGGTTATGCTCAAGAAAAAAATGTAGGATATGTATATCAAAAACCAGGAATTAAATTTGAGGAAGTACCTGTGACTTATTCAACGCCAAAACCAGCAATAGATGTACAACCGTCACAACCAACATTAATTACTAGCTATTATAACAGTGAAAGTTCAAGTGCATCCCAAGAAAAGTATGATAAGCATGAGAGTTATGGCTATACATATTCTAATCCCGAAATCAAATTTGAAGAAAGACCTGTAGTTTATTCAACACCAAAACCTGCTGTAGTGGTCCAACCTGCCCAGCCAGCAATTGTTACCAGTTACTTTAATACTGGAAGTTCTACTCCTGCGCCTGAACTCCAGTTCGAAAAAGAAAATGTGGGATATACTTATCCAAAACCAGTAGTTAAATTTGAAGAAACTCCTGTGGTATATTCGACACCAAAACCAGCCGTGTTGGTTCAACCTGCTCAACCAGCAGTGGTCACTAGTTACTTTAGCACTGGAACTTCTACACCGGCGCCAGAGTTATATGTTAAAAAAGAAAAAGTGGGTTACAATTACCCAAAACCTGCAGTTAAATTTGAAGAAACTCCTGTTTTCTATTCAACCCCTAAACCACCGGTAGTATATTCTACTCCTAAAGCAACTGTTATTTCTAGTTACAATTATATCAGTTCAACGACACCTCAACCTAACATCGTTGTGCACGATGATGAACCAGTTAATTATAATTATCTACCACCTGTTCCAAAGCCTATTCAGGTAGAACAAAAACCTGCTGTTGTAACTAGTTACTTCAATATCAAACAAAGCAAATCATCTAATGGATACAATTATCCAAGGCCTGCAGTGAGCTTTAAAGAAGAACCACAAAACTTTATAACTGAATATGAAAATAAAGTGCCAGTTCAAGAAGTTCCCTTTGTGAAGAAAACTGCTTATGTTACTGGAGACTACAAAGAGAACTACCAGTATTCTGAAAATCCGTATGAAAATAAACAAACAGAATTTGGCGAAAAAATTAGATACTATCAGCCAGAAGTGACTGCAAACTATGTTCCATCTACTCCAAAACCTACATTTTCCTCAGTAATACGAACAATCTCTAAAAAGAAGTACAGACCAGTTTCACCAGCTATCGTAACTTCGTACGACAGCAGATACAGCTCTACACCTGAATCATATATTTCTTCAACTGTAGCACCAGAAGTAAAAGTATATGATAGTACAAGTAGATATGGATCTAAGTTCTCATTTTTGTCAATGGATACAGACTATCAATATAATCAATACGCCGATCTAGTTAAATCTACTACTTCAGAACCTAGTCGTATTTATCTTCCTGTGACATCTACTGTAAGAGTCACAACACCAATACCTCAAATCACTAAATCTAAAGTGGTTGAAGCTTTTGTAGCTCCAGAGGTTACTACGATTGCTAGAGAGTATTTACCTGTGAGGATAAGAACAAAAGCTCCAGCTAGGGAATATTTACCAGTCGAGGTAACATCACCGTCTAGAGAATACTTCCCAGTCAGACAAAGAGTAAAGGTAACCAGTACTACCTCAGTACCTCAGTTTACCACCGTATCGAAAGAATACCTTCCTGCTAAAAGTCGAGTGAAGATTTCTACTCCGGCTCCTGTTTATGTGCCCAAAACCATAATAAAACAAAGCGATGCCCATCCATTGTTATCATCAAAACTGGGTGCACAGTGCACGTGTGTTTCTAATACATTGAAACTGCGTAAAAATCAACGAATTGTTATTGTTGATGATGATGAAGGTGACGATGATGACGGATATATTGTTGACGACAATAATCAAAGAAGAATAGTTGAAAGTTATAGCGCAAATCCTGAGGCTGTTGTTGAAATTACTCCGACACCTGAAATTTATAGTTCTACGACGTCATTAGCACCTAAAGGATATGCAATTAGGAAAAGGATTAAGGTTAGTAATTACATATTTATTTGATGATACGATGTTAAAAAAATGTGTTAAGCAGGTTCGTCCTTATAATCCAGTAACTGAGGTGTCGGAAATATTTATAAAGAAGAATACTAGTCCTGTGGAAGATACACCTTCGGATAAGGAAATCGTAAAGGCGGTTAGAACTGGTTTGAAGCTTGTGAAGCAAGCTGCAAAGGAAGGCGCTAAAGAAGGTATGTAAAAAAGTATTTTTATAAACAAATAAGGTGGTTCAGTATTGTCTTCTTAGAGTTGGTAAGTTGCTGCCGTCGCTGGTTGCTTTATTTAGATAAATAAAGAGATCGTGAATGCTCGAACCCTATATTCTCGGTTTAGGAGTAGACACACTAGCCACGATCAGCCACAAATTCTAATATATTCATCATCATTATCATTTTCAGCATTTTCAGCTTATTTAACTATTTCCAATTATGGTGTATCTTCCCTCACATATTTAGATATTCTCTTTGTAGTTTGGCCCATATTTGTCTATTGTTGGGTCCGCGGACCCAAGTTATCCCTGTTAATTTCATAATATCATGGTCCCGTCTCAGGTTCGGTGTTCTTAATTCCTCGTGGGTACCATGCTGTAATTTTTGTGGCTTATCTGTTGTCCGTCGTTCTTACCAGGTGTCCTACCCATTGCGGCTGGAGGGATTTGATTCTATGGATGACATCTATTACCTGGGTTCTTTTGTTGTATTTACTTTATTCTTTTGCGGTCTTTTTTTATTATTCCTATCATATTTCGTTCCATTGAATAATTGTTGTGCCTTCTCAAAGTCTATAAAGGCAATGGTTAGTGGAAGTTGGTATTCTTTTGTTCGGTTTATAGTTTCTATCAATCGTGCTGAAGCTCCTTCTAAAGCCTGTCTGTTTTTGTGGTTGTGAAGCATCTAGCCTGTTTTGTATTCTGTTGTATATTATTTTTATAAATATTTTGTGTGTTACTATCTATACACTACTATCTATAGTGTCTGATGTCTGCTTTGCTGCTTTTCTTATAAATTAGAATTATGTTGGCACTATTCCAGTCTTGCGGTATATGTTTTCTCCTTAAACAGCTGGTGTATATATTTGCGAGAAGCTAGAAGTTCTCCTAAGTATTTCACCTGTTCTCAGCAGTTCAATTCTATAATATATCTTATACTAAATAATATTATCAATAAATATTTTCTCTTCTAGGTACGCAAGAAGCCTTATCTGGAAAACTCGATCGGTACGGCTCAGGAGGGGTTAGAAGTAGATCAGAAACTCTACAAGGTACCATCGACTGTCAAAGAGCAGGCTTATTCAGGCATCCCACCGAATGCAACAAATTCTACGCTTGTAGATGGGATTGTACGAAGAACAGATTCACTCTTCACGTATTTAATTGTCCCGTTCAATTGACATTTGACAACACGCTGGGTGCTTGTAACTGGCCTAGTCAAGGACCTGCATGCGTTGAAAATACTCTGATTACCAGTGATTAGTCATTCGTCATATAAAACATCATTTAGACAAGAAAATTATTAGTCATCCCAATCCTCCATTTAGATACTCGCAAGATCATACTCACTAATTTTTATTTATTACATTGTCATATATTCTAGGTAGTTATAAGCTTTTCGATTCCGTTAATTTCTTCGTTGTTAGTGCGCATGCCATATTATTATTTGTTACTCTAAGTGTAATTTTTTGTACATTATTTTATTATAATTTAAGAAAGAAATATTTGTAAAAAGTATGCGTGTGTAAAAATTATATGTAAGTAAGCGCAATAAATTATTAATATAATTTTTGTTTTGTTAACTTTTATTCAAAAAAACACATAAAACTAAGCTACGCATAATAATAAAATCTATTCATAATAACATTACATTTCATAACACATACATAAATAAAAAAACAACTGGTTTGGCAATTAATATGTCAAAATGTCAATTAAATAGATTAGTACGTTAGATATCTATATAATTGATAAAAGTAATTAAATTGTAATACTATAAGATCGGAAAAAAAGCGTCAGCGATGGCTTGGAAATGAAGATCACTGTCATTTTTTATTAAACGTTATATGGGAAATGTCAACGATCGTCATTTCAAAGCCAACTCGAAACTCTTTTTCGATCATATGGTATAAAAAATATTATGGAGCCAGCTTAATAATATAAAAATTTGTACCACAAAGTTCGTTTTGATATGATTCTAAAAAAAACATAAATATTTGAAGGATGATGATCTACTTAACACTAGAACTTGTTCGTATAACACTTTGTATTCGTTTACTATTGCATTTTGGCCTTTATAATGAAAATAACTGATAAGACTGAATCCACGAGATAAGCTGCACCGTTGAGGACACATAGAGATCCTAATGCCAACCCAACCTAGAAATCAGAAAAATAAATATTAATTACTGAGAAAGTGTTACTGAAATCGATAGGATTATTGTATTACTAATATTATAGATATCTAGGTGTCTTGAAATAGCTCATGATTTCTAATCAAGATTGTTGTAAAACATTTTTTTTTTTTCAAAATTAAGCATTGTAATGAATTAGACATGTGCTCTATAGGGTGGTCCGAACTGTATTCCGGAAACTTCGGCAGCATATTCTGCAGATAAAAATAAGTAAAAAAGTTCGTATAAATGTATGTCCTAAAATGCTTAGTTTCAGATATACAGGGTGTAGAAATTTCATTTTTATTTCGATTTTGTCTAAATAATTTCTGAAGTAACGTCAATATTTGGATGAAAATTGGTATCTGGGAGTTTTTTGACATGAGAAATTTGATTTTGATGTCAATATCACTCCTACTAGTAGAGGGAGCCACCTACATGTGTTTTAACTGTTTTGAAGCGTCATAACTTTTTGGCCGTACCTGTATAAAACTACTGAGCGAAAAAATATACCTCTCTGTGACTTTTTATGTAAAAATTATCTCTTTGTAAAAATCGCTACGAGCAACCGTTCTTAAGATATTTGGAATGGAAATAGTTAATACATGTCATTATTGACGAAAAATAAACACGGCGTTGAGTAGAATAAATTTGAGAAATTTTTATTTTCTTAAATTAATAATAACTTTTTCTGCAAAAAATGATGACAAAGCAGTTTCTGTTGAACTTTTGGCACAAAACCATTTCAAATTTATGATTTCAGTCTAATAACTATTTAGTCGCCATGTTTAATTTATGTCAATGATGACAGGTATTGATAATTTCGATTCCAAATATCTCGAAAACCGTTACCCGTAGCGATTTTTACCAAGAGACCTTTTCACGTAAAAAATGTCGTAAATGTGCATTTTTTTACTCAGTAGTTTTATACAGGTACGTACGAAAAATTATTACTCTTCAAACCAGTTAAAAAATGTGTAGGTGGCACCCTCTACTAGTAGGAGTCATATTACAGTTGAGGGTTGGAACCTTTGGTGTTACACAGCAAAATAAAAACACTAAATCACAACAATACACCAAAACACTTTTAACTTTTACACTGGACGCGTGTTTCGCATTTTTGATGCTAACATGGTTAGCGAAACGCGCGTCCAGTGTAATAGTTAAAAGTGTTTTGGTGTATTGTGGTGATTTAGTGTTTTTATTTTGAGGAGTCATATTGACATCAAAATCAAATTTCTCATGTCAAAAAAATTCCAGACACCAATTTTCATCCAAATATTGACGTTACTTCAGAAATTATTTGGAAAAAATCGAAATAAAAATGAAACTTTTACACCCTGTATCTCCGAAACTAAGCATTTTAGGACATACATTTATACGAACTTTTTTACTTATTTTTACTATGCTGCCGAAGTTTCCGGAATACAGTTCGGACCACCCTGTAAATGCTGCCAAGTTCTCTTTTTACCATTTCTTTATTTCCTAATTATAATTAGAAAATAAAATCTTCCAACAGATGATTTTACCAAAGTATTTTGGATTTTCTTTTATTATATTTTTCTGTATTTTTTAGCATATTTTATTTTTCTTACTAATGTAATTACCTTTGAAAACCATAAAAAAGTGTATATCTGAGTTTTTTTTTTATATAAAATGGCAGTAGAGTACATAGGCGTGCCCACAGGGGAGGGGGGAGAGGCGCTATTTTCCCAAACAGCACAGTACGTACAGAAGACATACATTTTAAATACATTTTAGGCCTGTACGTCCATGGACTTAAAAAGGGCGTCTTCTGTACGTAATAAAACGTACGTCCATAGATGTAGGTTTTACAACATCTTATGTATGTTCAAAAAATACTTTTACGTCTGACGCTTGCGTAAATGAAGAATAATGGACGCGAGTGGCATATTGTTCCATGTTCCATGTATTGTTCCCGTTTCCCGTCGTGTTAGGTTAGGTTATCAAACTGTTGTGTAAGCAAAATAAATAAAGTCATGGAAGTCCGAAATTCTTTATGTCTTAATTTTACGTACATAAGACGCACATAGAATGTACACTGGCTGATTGGGTTTTTCTCCGGTTCGTAATCTTTAACCTTAGTCTTCCTTATTAAAAAGCCTGGTCACGCCTATGGTAGAGTATACTGAAAACCATTATTGCTCTCTTTATTCTAAAATATAAATGACATAAACAAATACCCAAAGATATCAAAATATATCCAAAGTTGTACCTATTTCACAATAATTTCTCTTTATTTTTTAAAAAGTACATTTTTTTATACCTTTAAATTGTTAAATCAGAACCTAAGAAACTTAAAAAAAAGAACTTAAGAAATCAAAATTAAAAAACTTATATCTTTCTAAAGAAGGAATCTTGATGCATAATGTATGATTCTTCGAATGTAGATATCTATTGATTTTGGTGGTACATTAATAATGGTTCGAACTGTCTTTGCTTAAAATGTATATTTTAACATGACTTTTTTCGGATACAGAAATATCTGTTAGCCATCATCAAGTAAGTATATCATTCGCATTTATATGTGCGCGCTTTATCATAGATTAGATCGTAAATTTCCAGGGTGGATGATAGTGAGTAAGGTTACAGTGCTACGATATTAATATTTTGCCAGACAAACAGCAAAATGAAACACTAATTCGCATCACAATACACCAAAACACTTTACTTATATACTAGGCGCGTGTTTCGCTATTTTAGCATCATCATCAAATTAGCAAATTATTAAAACTTTTAAAATCAGTATTAATCATCTGCTGATGATGCTAACATGGTTATCAAGACGCACATCCAGTGTAAAAGTAAAGTGTTTTGGTGTATTGTGGTGAATTAGTGTATTATTTTGCTGTTGTAATACCAAAGGTTCCAACCCTCAACTGTAATATGTTGGAGTAGTTGAAAAGTGTTATTGTTATTTTATTAGATGCAAGTGGCTTATTACTTTTGCATAACATTTTAATGGAGGCAATGCTGATTCATTTTACATATATTGAAAAACTGTTTATTTAAAGCTTTTCTATGTAGATTCTGCTCTTAGTAAAATTCTATTAAACAAATACAAGATTTGCAAGAACCATGCAGCAAGACCAATGCCAAGACTACTTATTAGGCTGCAAGTTAAAGACCTTTGGGGGACTCTTGGTCTTGCATTTGCTCATCACTAGTTCCTATTAACTATTTACATTTTTCTGTAATTTGAAGATGAACCTCCTTAAATCTAATGGATAGTTTAGACAGTTATTTTAATTTTTCACTTGATAATGGTGATAAAGTTATGTATACAGATTTATTCAAAACGTCGCGCGTAGCCGTCGTTACGAAAAAAAAGTTACACAATGGATATTCAGACACTAATCATTGTAGTAAGTTTTAAGGTAGGTTTTTGTTTACTTCTGTTTAATTAAATGTAAAACTTGTTACCTGTCTCTCGGAATTGACGTATGTATATTTGTGTTCAGCCAGGTAACCATGCCAGTAGTGAAGGGCTGTTGCTCCCACAGCCACCCATAAAAATATACCAACGATGTTCATGAGAATATCCGTAAAGGTGCTAAAATTGGAAAAATATACATACGTTAGTAATTTTATACATTTTAAAGTATTGGGCAAGATTTGGTGACACATATTGTTTAATGAACGGTTAAAAATTTGAAATCTAGTTTAAATTAAGTCGACCTGAAATAAATATTTTGACTAATTTTATGTATCTTGTCTGTTATAAAGTTTGTAATGAAAATAAATCACCACATCTAGTACTCATCAAATCATGAAATAAAAAATGTAAATTAGTTTTTTAAAGGCCGTCTCAGAGACGCATGCTTTTCGCCTGTTTTGCTTGCACAGCCTTAATTGCCTTAAGTTGTAATGCAAAACTTCTCGAAAAATATGGCCGACAATATATTTTTAAATAAAAACACTGTAAGCTGCTTATTTTATTTTTGTCGGAATATTCCTTGTACTTAATTTTTCACAAACATTGAGGTTTTTTATATAAATCAATAAAATCTCAGAGAAACTCTCACGACCTCAGTTTCAGGTCTTGCATATTACCAAAATAAGACGCCATGCAAGAATCAAAACCAGCTAGACTCAACGTCTTCTCCGCAAGCAAGTTGGAGCATTCAGGCTAGTCAATTGACGGAACATGATAAACAAGACGGACTGCTTGATACCTCACACAAACACCGTCTTACAATACAACTTAAGCCTGTATAAGCAAAACCAGAAAAAAGCATGTGTGTACAAGGCGGTTTTGACATAACAGCTAGTTCAACTTTTTGTGTCCCTTTTAAAGCAAATGATATAAAATTATTCTCTATAATATGATTTTGACACAACTGCACTTGATGATTGACCAATTGCATTCTTCAAAACTGGTACTTCAGTTAAACTAAAATGATTCGTCATTTCTTTTATATGTTTTAATGGTTTTGAACTAATCAAAAGTATGTTGATCCAGAAAGGAGGGTTGGCTACTAAAAAGTAGATAAGGTTGTAAAAATATACTGTACTTTTTATGATCACCGCTGGCAAAACATAACGCTACCAACGATGTGAATGTGTAAATGGCGTAACCGATAAATACACCTGACGCAAATATTTCGGCATCTGCGTTTTTCCTTTCTGCCAAATTCCAAGTGCCACCCACTCCTAAAAAGGTCCCATCAGATCCCGTACGGTACAGAACTATTATGATAACATTTAGTGTCTAAAAAGAATATTTATTCTGATAAATAATGTGAAAGTTCATGTTAAGTTTATGTTCTGGGCGTTAGATTATCATGTCAAACAAAGAAAGATTTTTCAATGTCCGGTGTGCGAAGGGAAGATCAGGTACGTGTCTGGTTTCTCAGTCACAGAAAAGCTCATTACGGATAACGCCTGCGTAACCATCTTCTGAAGCGTGTCAAATACTCGTCAGCGAGTAAAGGCAGTAGTAGTAGTAGATCATTATATTTTACAAATAAATTTTTGATAACATTACAAAATTTTTACTCCATAGAGAAGAAAAACACAAGCGATGGGTACCATAGATATGTACCATGCTTTCATCTATTAATGGTTTTCTATTTTGTCGAGGTGTGAGTTCTCTAAGCGCTGGCAAAAGCAATCCATGAGGTAAATCATACTTAAGGTATTTGGAGAAATCTGAAGTAATGGATGTTGTTGAAACAGTAGCCTCAATAGAGTGAAATTGGTCAAGTGTTGGATGAAAGATGGACTAAAATATTATTGTAATAGAGATTATATCAATATATCAGAAGAAACTGAAAAACTTTTCACTAGATGAGAAACAACCGAAAAAAAGTATGAAAGTAACTGGCTATATGATACAAAAAATATGATCAGAAAAAATGAAGGTATATGAGAAAAACCAACTTAAGCTTGGTAGTTGTAACAAAATTAGCCATTTATATATGGGTTCCCTGCATCAAGTTATCCTTGGCAAATTTATTTGTCAAGCATATCTAAAGGAGACCTAAACACAAAAGTTTGGGGAATTTTTTAGAAGATAAGTAGATATGCAAGGACAGTTAGTTACAAATGACAAGAAATTGTGGCAGTATTAAAATATCTGTAACTGAGATTAAGAAAGTCCATCGTAAGACTCAATACAAAGCACTGAAAGTATCTGAAACTTCAGTTTCATTTTGGTCTATGACCTAGATAACACTAATTTGATGAATAAGCTGAAGTTTTTTTGAAGAAGATGAATGTCTAGAAATAGATGTTCTTGCAAGAAGTGGACATTGAAAGTTACAAGCCATATTACTACACAAATTATTACAGAAAATTAGAAAGCTTAAATTGGATATTTTTCTCTATTGAACTGGATTTTTAATTGTTTTAAAGCAAATTCAAAAATAAATATATTATAAAATTAAGTTTTAAGTCACTAACAACTTAAATATTTTTTTTGATATGTCAATTTTTATTACACTTTTTTTATGATGACATATAATGTTGGTAATAACCACAAGAGTAATAGTCTGGTAATAGTAAAAAGTTCGTAACCTAACTAAATCTAAATCATACATTCTAAATACATGTATTTTTTATATAAAAGAGATATAATACCAAAATATTTCTCAAATGTTTTTTGTTCTAGATAATAAAATGAGATGTGAAACATGTTTGTCAACAGTGAAATGAGGCTAAATTTAGTTTTGAATTAGGAAAAGTTAGATTATAGATTAATTAGTATTTCTCCCATAGTACAGAAAATATTTTTGATAACCATCTAGATAACCATCACAGGTGTTTAGGATATGTTCAACTGCTACGAGTTTAATTCAGATTTATATTGATCAATGGGTATTTTTAAAGAACTAAAATAAAGAGATAAGAAATATAGAATGTTTCTACTTATAAGATTACATACATTCTACGTATTTTACAAAAAAAGTATCCAGTACAAAGATTAAACTTAACATAAACTTAACCGTGTTTTAATATCTTTGATCCTGTTGTGTATTAAATATATTATATTTTGGAATATATGAGTCTTTTATATTAATTAATATTTTGTTTTCATTAAGTCTCTCTTTAACACATTTTAGTATCGAAAGCTCCATATATCTTACACAGAATGAGATCATACTTGAAAACATTAAGCAAGGATTATTTATTTTTCACCGTTAACGCCCAGAACTAAAATCGAAACAAAAATACACTTTTTTTCAAAAACTTACAAGCTTTAATAACTTTAGAACTACAGTTCCCACCGTTTCCACACTGGTCATGATTAATAAACGCAAAAATCACTATTTAAAAGAAAAACTAATACAAGAAAATTATTAACAAAGTAAAAAATCGAACTCGCACCTGAACAGCAACGAAATGGTGTAAAGACAGATAACGATTAAATTAGGATAAAAGAGATAAGATAACGACTCCAGCTTTGTTTTCACATAAATTTTTATCATATCTTCGTATTTATTTTATTAGGAGTGAATCATTCTTGACGAATGTGGCGTTAATATTTCATTCAAAATGAGTAAATTATTTATAGGAAATATAATGATAAAGAATTATATGTATCTTGCATGTATTTCTAGTTCTTCTTCCGGTTCGTTTATGATAATATTATCAATGTTGTTAGAACTTTTTCTATAGTAGAATGTAGAATGATGAAGGGGGATTAATCATCGCGACCTTAAAGATCTATTGTGTCTCCCTTTCTTAATATATATAGTCTATAACACACATCACATAAGGGGATCTTGTCTGTTGTAGGGAAGGCAGGATCTTTTTCATCCTCCTTTGATAACAACTGTTCATCCTCCGAGGAGTGAACATCTACCTTCTACGAGGGTATACACCCTTCCACTGTTGGGATTTAGCCCTCCGTGCCCTTCACAGTCGAGGAGCTTTTTTTCGGCTCAGGTACCCGTGAGGTGGAGGATATGTCTCTTCATTTTCTCCACCTCTTTAACTGGATCTCTCCTATTGCCTCCTTGGGTTTAAGGTCAATTCTTATTGTGAGGACCTGACCATATTCCTTCCGCCTCGAGTTGAACTACAACTTGATGTTTTTACATTGGAGTTCTGGCAAAGCTGGTGATACACCTAAACCTAAAGGGTTAGTCGGTCCATTTCTACAGAGCCCTGTAGAAATAAGGGAGATGAGAACACAATGTATTGCCCCCTGGTGTCCCAAGGTTGAGATCAGTAGAGATTAGTTTTATATAGCCACGCATCCCTTTCACCTGGTCCCGTTATCATAAAATTTAGGTTTTTGGTGATGCCGGGCGGTTAAGCTAAGGCTCCCCCACACACTCTCCCCGTGATATATGATCACACACAGTAGAGGGTGTCTGGTATGACGAACAGGGTTCTACCATCCGGCATCGTTATATGTCTTGATGCAATTCCCTGGCCACGAGACTACAGCCAGGGACAAGACAATGAGATGCTCCTTAGACCCAGCCAACCTGCTAGAAGAGATTCCCCACCAACTACATGGTCTCCCATCTCCTAGAAGTTTTCTATAGTAAATTTTGTGCTAGTAACACTAGTAACACTAGTAACACTAGTGGTAGTAATCAAACTATTGACCAATCTTAACCATTAATAAAAATCGTTTGCCCCCTATTATACATCCACCGGGTGAGTCTCAAAAGTGGCTCACCCCTATAATTTGTTTATTTTTTCAGATAAAAAAACGAGATTTGGTATGTAAGTATAACATAAATTAGGATTGATTGACGTATTCAATTGTTTTCGGTCACTTCGTGTTTCACTGGAAATGATGACAACTTTTGCTTTTTTAATGGTACACTCTCGGTATATTTTTTTTATTCGATAGAAAATAACACTCTGAATAGAATGGCATATCATATATGTCAAATTTTGATATTTACGGTTAAAAGAAAATCGTTTTTTAAATGTAAATAAACCATATGCGTAAAACAAGTATAGAACGTTTCTAGACATACAAATCTATTTTCAAAAAAAATATTCTTTTTCGAATTTTAAACTACACCATTGAAAAATCATTTTATTCAATATAAAAATAGAATACAACCACACAACCTTCTTAAGGCCATAAGGCTCATTAAAAAATACAGAAGAGTACGGGCCAAGTAAATGACATCTAGGGAATGACCTCGCCAAAATTATTATCGATTGTCATTCCCCGGCCGTCTTTGACGTCGTTTTTTTTTCGATCGTATGGTAATATATATTGATGTTTCTAACGACAAAAGTATACCAAAACTATAATTTGTAAAAATAAGATCTAAAGTAGTATCAGTTGAATTATATATAAAATACAGATAAACGATACGAAAAAAAAACACAGTATAAAGACTGGAGACAAATAATAATACTTCCATTAAAATAATTGTACAGAAAGAATGTTTTTAAGATTTAATCTCAGAGTATGGTCTAAGAAATTGATTATGCATTGTTGTAGAGATATATGACAATATAATAAAATAGTTATTTAATTAAAAAATAATTAAATGTAAATTTAATGAATGTACAACGAGAGAACACATCAGAGTGACTTAAAGTAAATTTTATTTTCTGTCATTTTTGAATTTCATCTGTCGAAATCTTTCCTGACTTGCTGGATATACTATATTATAATTTTTTTTGGTTTATTTAAAAAAAAGTTATGATGAATTCATTGTGAGAAATTGAGAACTTGAATCATTTGAGGATTTCGATAAAATAAACCAAACAAACATAGATATTTGCAATAAGTCACCTTATTTATTACTCCTGTTAATAAATGATAAGTTAACCATACCAAACCAGACGTCATTCATATATATTATCATAGAAAGTAAACTAGATAATTTTACGAGGAAAAAAAGGTAATCATTTTCATTTATTTAGAAGGTGCATCTTTCGCAAGAAGTAATGACACCCCTCTCAGACACCATTATATTATTTCGAACATTCTGAAATACATGTTGCATGTCGGTGGATTAGAGGGGTAACATTGTAAATTGGGAACATTGTAACAAAAAAAAAACGGCGTCAAAGGCGGCTCGGGAATGACAATCTATGATAATTATGGCGATGTAAATCTGCGATGTAATTTACTAAAACTTGACATGAAACTTGTCAAAAAAAAGAGACATAGGAAATCCCATGCAAATTTTGAAGTGTTTAAATATTGGCTCCCCTAATGATTTTTACAGCGAAGAATTTTTTTAAAGATTTATGTATGGTAAATACACATGCCAAATTTGAACAATTTTGGACCAGCCGATTTTGAGTAGTTCAAGAAAGATGCATCTATTTTTAAATTAAAACCGAACAGGCAACAATCAAACACCAGTCAAAAACTGACATACCTTATAGTCTAAGAGTTAGCAACGTTTTCGAGAAAGTATTTTAAGTCTGTCTCTTTGATATATCTTTTACTAGGCTTTCTGGAACAGCATGCGGCCCGTCTGGCTGCCGATACCCGTTGCGTTTACTACTGCGCATCGGAAGAAGATCCTATATTTTTTTATTAATTTAGTCCTATAAATTCTAGTATTGAATATAAATCGAACATGTCTCCATAGCGCAGTGTGTAGAGTTTACGACCACGAACCGAAAATTCAGAGTTCAAATCCGGGTCAGGTCAAAGACTTTTTTATTTTATTTTCGTTTATATTCTGATAGTAAAGTATTAAATAATTCTGGTAATTAAAATAAAACAAATATTGGATCTAAAAATATAGGATCTTCTTTCAATGCGCAGTAGGAAACAACGTTTACCGGCAGCCAGACGGGCCGCATGCTGTTCTAGAGAGCATAGTAAAAGATGTATCAAAGAGCCAGAGACGTCATAAAATACTTGTTTTTCCGACGTTGCTAGCTCTCGTACTATTAGGTTTACAAACTATGATTTTATCATGGTCAAAAGTAATTTAATTTCAATAAAGTTAACTAAAACATGTTAGATACACTGTCTAAGCTATTTCCCGCGTATTTTATCATATTCACTTTTCCTTTATGTGTATAACAATAAATTATTACTAGTACTGAATATTAAAATTTTAGTAAAATTAAGTATGAATTAAGTTACGGTTTGAAAATGACGCTGACAACTTAAGAAATGTCGGTTTTTGACTGGTGTTTGATTGTTACCTATTCAGTTTTAATTTAAATATCGATTAAGTTTTTTCTCAAATTACGCAAAATCGGCTTGTCCAAAATTGTTCAAATTTGGCATGTGTGTTTACCAAACGTAGACCTTTAAAAAATCTATTTACGACTTCGCTATAAAATCAACAAGAAAGCCAATATCTGGACAGTTCAAAATGTTCATGGGATTTCCTGTTTCCAACGACGATGCACCACCTGGTAGTATATCCAGTGGGGAATCCCAGAGAGAAACTAATAACTAAAGTGAGAGTGCTTGTGGAATAGGGCATTTCGTAGACAAGTTTATTTTGTCACCGCGCATCCCAGACGCGCATAGCGTTTGGCGGTCACAAAAGGAAGTTTTAAACTTTGCAAGTTAAACATTTGACAGGATTAATTAGATTGTCAGTAGCTTTTCTATTTCTTAGCTCTAGAAGGAGATAACTAAAATCTGTTGATAATCGGAGCAAATCGGAGTAATAAATTGTTTTTTACTGAATGTGCCTGTTCTTTTAGCTTGTCAGAAGAGAAGATTATTGTCATTATTGATTATTTCAGATTCCACGATTATTCCGCATTTTGTAATTTTTGTTTTGTGGTTGAGACCCAGACAAAAAGTTAGTTAAGTTTTATCTCGGTAATTATTTTGACATACCTAATAGTAATAGTGAGTGCACATAATAACCGTACATTGCTAATTTAATTTTTTTAATTTAAAACATCACATTCTTTTCTGATACCTATGGAACGACTAGGTATTATACCTGGTATTATTTCCAGTAATACAAATTATTTTCTTCAACTGCTAGGTTCTTGTTATAGAATAAAGACTATCAAAAACATTGAATACCTACGGGATACCGACTGATACTCTGTGCGAGCTCCAAACCGTACTTCCCTGTTCACTCCCGACCAAGTTAGATAAAAAAGTTACTGAAGATTGCAGCCTTGAGTTGGAGTTGGCAAGGAGTTTGGAGTTAAATAAATTATTATGTTCCTACACAGTATTTTATTTATAGGTTTTAATGAATTAAAGTCTAATAATAAATTTTCGTTGTCAAGAAAATAATCTAAAAAAACTACGAAGATTTCTTATTATAAACTTGAAAGATTAAGATTCGGTTCAAATATACAAATTTTAAAATTTTGGCGCCTGTATATAGGTATGAATGCAACCTACTATATCAATAATACGCTCATAGTTCGGGTTAGACGCCAAAGGTCCCGCCACTAACACAGTCTTCAAAAATTAACGTTGATCGGTCTCTCTCACTTTAATTATTAGTATTCTC